ACAATTTGGATTTAACCTGCATTAGATGTGATTATGTATTTGTTGGTTGGTTATTTGGCCAGTCGTTTGGCCATTTAAATCTTCTGCGAGGTGAGGGATATGGGATCGCAACGAGCGCCTAACGTTCGAGAGAAGAAAGTCTCTGCTGTTTAGTTAATAAGGTTAGTTGATCAGTTTGTGCTAAGCTAAAATGATTTTCGCCAACGCCGTGCACAGACATTGAGGTAAGTCATTCACTCCCAAACTGACGTTTGGCTGTCATGAAGCTGCAATTGGGTATGTGGGAAGGGGGAGGGGGAAACTAGTAACACGGTCATTGAAATAGCCAGATGTTGTAATCACTGTGATTCCCCTTAGCAAGACTAGTGGCCAATGCACCTCTATTCGACATAAAAAAATAGGAAAATAAGTGCCTTTTATTTTTCTTCGAATAAAAGATTTGTAGGTCCAATGAGGGAGAACTGTGCCTTTGCTGCTGCAGTGAATCAAGGGCACCAGAGTGTCAGAGGAATAGATAAACCTGGCAGCACTGGGAAGTTTGGTCACGAAATGCGCAAAACCAAGTTTTTACTGAGTCACCTGTCACTACACGCGACCTTGGCAAATAGATGTCTCCAATGGAGCCCTTCTCCGTTGAATGTTCTGGTTGAGGGCCCCTTCTGCCATTCAACTAGAGCCCAAGCCCTTGAAACTAGGTCACAACTCCACTGCCGCCCACGCACATCACAACCCTTCAATGCATCGTGAACAGGTCCACCCAATGCGTATGCCATTGATCTCTTCAGCTTATGGAGAAGACTCACTAACCACGTTTCCACTACATCCCATCGCCTATATTGTTAGCATTTCGAGTTGATTCTAAATGTCTTATAGGCAAAACAGAAGACAGAGAGAAAACGTAAATCGACTCTCTCAATGTCTTTGTCTTTTCTGCCATACTGAGGTAAAAGTTAGCCACCACTTTCGTACGTCTTCGTCGATCTCTAGCAGGCAGCATATTGCACAGCCTCTAGTATGCTCCTCTTGCATAACATAGGTTTTGTTATGCACAACATAGATACCTGAATTTTTTTTTTCAAAAAAATAAACCAGAAGACGAGTTTATAGTGTCTTTAGTTCACTTTTCTCGATTAAAATTTGGAAATCATCAATCTACAAAAAGGAAGAAAAAGTGAGTTGATTTTTTCTTTTTCTTTGCAAACTACAGCTAATAAGCTAGTGAACCCACATGAGGTGGTCAAGAAATTGGAGTTTAGCTTGCCTCCCTGACTTCCGCTCCTGCAAAACGAGACCGGCTCTATACATTATGACTAAACTTCAAAAAAACGGAAACATTTGCAATGAACACAATGCTCAGTGAAATGTGTCTGACTTATCGCAGTCGGAACTTGTCAATAAATGCATCAAAATCAGCTCAAAATTGGAACAGATTCAGGCATGAACTGTTTGAACAAGCCATATAGCTGTGAGGCGCATTAGGCCATATGATTTCTCCTCTGTTTATTTATGTGTTACGATATGCAGATACTTGCGTCACCACAAATTTGGCTTCCACTATGCTTTAGACATTTCTGTCCAAGCCCTTCAGTTGCTGTCAGCTTACCGACAGAATAAGAATGCCTATACCTTAAAATGAGACTGCTGCTGTGCAGGAAGCAAGCGTTGTATTTTTGAATCAAAATGTTGTGAAAGGATGTGGGCTTGATATCCATCGCTGTTACCAGTGTAGGACGATGGTCGTAGTTCCCCTCTTTTATGGTCCTCATACTCTAAGAACACCCAGGTTGATTTGACTTCGGCGTGTTTATTAGGTTAATTAAATGGAGGAAGCAAGTACAAGTTTAAAGAGATATGGACATAGAATTGCTCTTCAGGTATTAGGACGCTGGCACCTTGGTCATGATGTTCAATTCATCTGCCCACCTCCTATCTAAAAGAAACATTAAATCAACATAAGTATTACAGTAATGAGGAGAGCAAAACATACGCAAATAGTTGTGTTGTTGCTGTTTAAGTTTACGACGGCCCTTTAAATCGCTTTTTTTGCTAAAAAATGGCAATATTTTTGTATTGATTTAAATTTAAGAATGCTTTATATCGCCCCTATTTGTTTAAGTAAGCCGTGACTTTTGACCTTGACGCCAAACGAATTCAATTGCCGCACACTTTGTCAGCGATAAGAAAGTGAATTTATATCTATTTAGCTAATACCTACTTCGTTTAATGAATTTAAAATATTTGCTGTGCAAGAACAGCAATTTGTTGCAAAACATTTGCATGACTACCTAGACTTTTTTGCCCTAAAGTGTTGTTTTTTATGCTCTAGGTAATGCTTCAGTTGCGTAGTTTGCGTCATGCAACCTTGCTAAAAAGTGGTGAATATTTCATGAGAGCACTTGCTAACCTTGGTCTGCATCTACTAGTTCATTTTCCTTTACACAGCAGACCAATTATTTTGAAAACACTAGTATGATTTAAAACTTATGAGCTCCTTACAGAACATTTTTGCCACTGCCTTATGAGTAATTTATACTGGCACAAATTGAAGGTAGCATAAAAGCTATGATATGGTAAGGCAACTGTATCCACAGTTGGTACTCCCACCCCACCTCTTGCTATTTTATCATTCTTACAGCCTCATGCCTATTTTGTACGTCAGTAGGTACTAGTATTTTGACTTGTTTCGAATTGAGAAAGTACCTGAGGAGCCATAGCTGTCCTAACTTCATGCCCACTTCTCACATAAATACTGCACTTAGCACCACTCATTTTTGAAACATCGTCAAATTACACTATAGGAAAAGTTAAACAATGAATTCCACAGCATAAAGTAAGTATTCAGTTTTGCCATTTGTAATTACAGACTATCGGTAAGTCACAAAACTTTAAGCAGAGGTTTATTTTAAATGTTCAGGGTCTAAAACAATTTGGCGTTGATAGAAGATCTAAAATTCAAATGACAGCATGAAAAATACTGATAATCACGTAAAGAGGTTAATTTGACGAAAGATTGGCATTAGAATGAACTCACGGACAGCTTGTAATTGTACTTCTATAACTGTGTAAATGCAAAACTTTTAATATAAAATATTTACAATTTTCAGAGGCGAATGCAAGTGTCTTACTTTAAGCACATTCCTATCTTCAACAATACAATACAAGTGACTGTTATAACTAAGTCAAATATCGGTGTTGAAATTTCGTCACTCTCGTTTTTTTCCTTCCACAGTTACTACCATCTAAAGGGTCAACTCGCCTTACTAAATATCAATGCTTTCATTCTCGAGAGATTCTAGTATATTTGGCTTTGTAAACGAACTACATTTTGATAATTTATCACCCTATAGATATTTTAAATGATCCCATAACTTACCGTTTTTTTACAGAGAGCCAGAGTTTCCAGTTGTTTAGATTTTTAATCTTTCTTCTATTTGCTTTTTACCGTAAAAGCAACTTGCAATGAGCTCCCTTGTTCTTGCCTCCTAATTTCTCTATAAATAAGAAAAGTGCACAGTCGGGTGCTATCTCTTGGGATATTCATCGCCCAAAGACGGGTGTGCATGATTATGCGGAAAATCTGTTAACAAATCTTTGTAAATAGATTTCCCACATCCTTGTTCTTCGTTAAAGTGCACATCATCATTATCTAATTCTACATTAGGCGGGATTATACAAAATCACACAGAATATTATGAAAATACTAATGCACATTCAATAAAATTAACTGCTCTAACAGATGAAAATTGCCGAAAATTGAGTGTAGTACAATGACATCCACATAGTTATGTAGCGTTTGAAAAGTCAAACAAATTAATGCACCATAGCGTCTTTTCGACTTTGCCATAGAGTTGCAACAGGTTGAAGTGGTAGGAGGGGATATACTACTTACTAACGTGCAGCAAAGATGGGAGGCTATTGACACACAACAAAAGCAGCGGTGAAGGCATAAATACAACCTTTGGAGACTAGAGAGCTTTTGCAGTTCAAGAGAATATCACGGTCTTACATAACAATGAAAACCTCTAAAAATTCTTTTTATTTACGGATAAATGTCACCTTTTAGTTTGCTTCGAACCTTGAATGGCTGCTGAAACATTATGTGGAGTTGTTAATTTTTGGCGACTGATAGCGAAAAGGAGCAGAAAACAGGCAGAAAATTCGTATAATAGAAAAGAATAGAATGAACGCAAATTACTGGTGGCATATGCTTAATCTATTCTATGCATTCCTCAGTAAACAATATAAGATTCTTCTTGTTTTTGTGGTTCTCATAGCACTGTGCCCAAATTAAGTAATCTTCAAAGAAATATACACATTTTTAAAGACGATGAATGCCATTGTTAGAGTAAATGACAAAAAATTACGCATCCATTGCAAGGACAACTAAGAGCCACTTATAGTAACAGTGACTACATCACCCACTTCCAGGGAGAAGTGCCTTCCAGTACCTTAGATAGGAATGGTCGATGATAACCAGTTATTCTTCCAAACAGGAGGGTTGGAGTCAGGCTTTACTTGCTATTGTCGCGATCAAATAAGAGGGGCTTATGCAGCAACCGCGCCTTGCCCGAGGTTGCTGTCCCTTAAGGGAAACCTCACGCATTGCTATGCATTTACCATCTTAAGAGGAATAAAATATTTAGAAGGCTATCACTTAACCCCATTTTTGTGGTAAAGTACCCTTTTCAAGCAATTAAAAGTATCTTTTATAGGTATAAATAATACCTTAGATCTAAAACGCATTAAAATTTGGTAATATTTTCCGTCTTTTCCTAATCGCTATGACTCTGAGTCGACATGCATGTTGAGTTACCGAATGAGTTCAGTGGGTTTTTTTATGAAAAAGTTTACTAACATTTAAGACCTACCGTCGGCATTTGAGATAGGCATTAGGAGACTTGCTTTGTAACTTGTGCCATTTATTGGGGAATTAAGTTCTGCAAATTACTACAAAAATTTTTCCTCTTGAAAAACCTGCATTTATCCTAAATGCCATAAAGATGCAGAATAACAAGTTGGACAATGCACTTCGGCAACTTTGTAATACACTTCAATTCGGTCCGTTCCATAAAGTAGACAAACTCGTGTCACTTCAGACTCAAATGACCCTTAACGATGTGCTAGCTCGAAAGAGGAGGAAGTGAGCAGCAAGTATAAATAAGGCTGCCGTATCGGCAGACTAGTGCATGTAATAAAATGCTCTTTACTAGTTACAACAGGCAATCACGGAAGGCCGTACCAAACAGCTACACACCCTTACTTTATCGTTAGGCACTGGTGGTTATTTAGGCGCATTTTCCGCAACTTTTAATGATCTGTGATGGATAAGTTGTCTCTTGAAACATTCTTTTACCATAGAGACCTGTTATAGGTGGTTTAACAGCAGCGAATAATTCTACCAAGCTTAAATTAGCGTTACTTCTTTCCCATTAAAACCAAATATCTCGTAGTTTAAAGTGTCTATCCTTGGCGGTATGCAACTACAAAAACTATCTTGACTGTTCCCTTTGTAGTCAACACTATGAAGGTCAATTCAACTCATGTGATTTTGATGGAATATTCAGAAGGCAAGACGTTTTAAAAACTAGTTAAGCCAAGCAGACAGAGGTGGTTCTAAATTATTGGGGAAAGTATGAGCGTTTATTATTAATAAATGAAGTGCAGGGAGTGCGACATTGGCCAGGTTAGACCTCGTCACCTCCAAAGGTAAGTGGGTCACCGCACCACTACACAAATGTCCAAGTAGCCATTTGTTCTTCTAATTTACGATTATATGGATACCGGCCTTAATTTCTGCAAGCAAACCGGATGTTGGTGGATCAAGAAGTGCTTGACATGGCGGTAAAATAAGCGTGAAGCCGGTTTCACCGCACCTCTATTAGTTGTGCATTTAAGTCCTCAGATTTCTACACTTTCCAACATTATTATAGGACTGCTTGATAATATTCTCTCATTATTTTACCACATTTTTAATTGAAGTGGATCATAATTGCTTTAGTGCGATTGTTTCGGCACGATGCTGAACAAGTTAAAGCCATAGTAATGCAAATGGATGAATAAAATGGCAGAGAATGAGCTCAGATGGCGCAGATGGGAGGATAGAATGCCTTCAAGGTATTCCGAATCCTTACTCAGATGCATTGGAGGCTCTCGGAACGGGTATCCTAGGTGCAGTAAAGGGCAGCAAATGCAAGATGGGATTTCGCCACAATTTGAGCAAACATTTGTACCATTCTTTTTATATATATTAAGGCTTTAGAGGTCCTTTTTAACAACGTACACGCCTATGATGGCAATTTTCTCACTTTACTCGTGTCTTCGCTACAAAAGAATGCCATAAAATATGCCTTAATAATAAGTCAAAGAGAGGGTCTCGACGACAATAAGGGTTGCACTGGATTGAGTAAAACATAAGAGGGAACCCTGTAGCTTAAGTATCCCTCATCAAATGATTTTTGCAAGCTGAAGAAAAGAAACACAGAAGTAGCGCCAAGTATAAAAAAGGAAAGAAAGGAGGACTAATAACAAATCCTCCTACTTAATGATTGAGCGACTCATTTGTGCCATATCCCTAGGCAGTATAAGAGAGGCAAAAGATAAGGTATTGCAATCTTTTTTGTTTTAATCAGAAGTTAGTAGGAAAAAAGTTGGCCTTGTATTTCCTAAGTCTCTGGTTCCAGTTGCGTTTGCCCAAAACTCCAGCAATTTTGAAGGCATTTCTTCACAATTTCCAAACATGATAAATTTACCTGTATCTTTTAAGTTGTAAGAAATATAGAGAGCTGTTTACAAATCACATTCATTTTTGGGGGTTTCGGTGAATGGACGAAATCTTCTAGTGGATATGCTTTGTTTGTAACGGTTACATTCCACATTTTAAAGTGAATTCAGAAACAAGAACAAGAAGGGACTTTTTCATTTAATAGGCTGACCCTTAGAGAGATTAAATAAATGCCTAATTATGGAAAATTACTGACCAGCGGGTATGTAAAATCCACCCGAAATGAATAGCACAAGGGGAATAAGGCGCTGAGGTCTTGTGGTAGAGGCTTTAAGGGGATAAAAAAACGTTAAAAGAGTAGTCCAATGACGTATACATTTCGAAAAGGTTGTAAAACTCTGCATAGGAAATAAAACTTAACGCTCTGGAATCAGGCGGGAGTATATCCTCCACTACCGCAGGTTTATGGGCATGGTACTTTATGCGGAGAATTTCTTTCTTCGGAATAGATGGATATGAAGAGAGGCTCCTCGAAGTATGTGATAATGCAAGATACTGATATATACCACTTAACAAAATGTATGCACCAGTTGTCTGTTAGACGTGAAAAGGAACCAAAATAAATAATGTTGATGAGAATGAATTTGGATGATTTTACATTGAGGCGAAATTAGGATTGACTGGGTGAAACAGATCATTAGTTAGGTATCAGTGAACAACTTCGATGTATATCTTACAGTAATTTGAATGAGTAGTGACCACTTCCCTACATGGAATTGGAACAATCTGTAAACATGCATTATTGTGTGCCTTCATATGTAAGATGTAAAGTGAGTCCAGTCAAGTCTCACTGACATGCATACCGTGTGGGTAAATGTAGCTCTGACACTAACACACAATCGATGTCCCTTTGTTAGTGATTATTGTTCAGGCCGCGAAATATCTGTCACTTTTTTAAATTTTTCAATGCACAGAAAGCCTTATTTTGCATGGGTAATCCACACAACACCATTACCCATTGCAAAATTTCATAAAAAGGCGATTCTGTCTATAAGAACCGTGAACCTGACTGTGTACTACTTTGGTACCCACAAAACACTTTGGGGGCTACAATATGATTTGGGTATTTGGACAGAACTCGTTTCTGGATTTTACTTAAACATTAAGACAGGTGTATAAATTTGGCTTCAGTTTAATTTGCTGCCCATTTACACATCTTCTGCTATTTTAATACCCTTTCTATTCTTTGTGATGGTTTACATTCGTGGAAACAATTAAACAATGAGTTAAAAATAGGCAAAATCGGCGGCTGAGCTTGGGCATCGATGTCTGATGGGTCTCTGAAAAATAACATCGCAAATTTCAATAGCAGGGCAGCCTTATTGCATGTGATGATTTAATAATCGGTAAAAGTGAAAACAGTCTGCATAATTTTGGTTTAAATAATCACAAAGCTCATGTATTCCCCTCATTGCTCATCCTATGTGTGGGTTTAAGAAACCTGTGGATCTACCTTTACTGCTTTCAAACAGTGCCAATAACCAACACCTAGGTACGAGAACTTAATGGCTCTTAATAAATCATGCAATATGGAGCCTTCGGTTGCATTCAATTACGCACCGATACACAGAGATGGGAAGGAGCTACACGTTACTACAGAACCGCACTCTAGAATGAGTTCAAAAATATTACGAGGCGCTTAGATGGATCTTGCACATCCGGCGATGAATTGAAAAGCCACACCACACACTGGGATAGAAAAACAGAATCAAGGTGAAATTTCTTAAAATGACGTTCTTTGAACACAAAATCATTGTATTTAGGTGACGACGCTTGTAATCTTTGAATTGAGAACGAATGGATGGTTGAGCTGCCATTACTGAAAGAAAAGTTTGCATGCATGAGCAAGGGCTAACGTTAACGCTTTATAACCACCAGTTCTCCTTTTCTCTTAAGCGGGTCCAGGGATGGGATAAAAAGTGAAGACGCTATAGAGCGTTGACCCGCCTTTAGCGGCAAGAAGTCGGTGAGTCCCTTCAATGAAGGCCACAGGGAGGTCAGAAGTGTGACACTATCAAAATCAAGAAAATGTTTCAATGCCAATGGCTTTTCAGTCCCCAGCCTTGTGAGATGTCGTGCGAGCACCAACTACGCTATGATAGTTAAAGAATACCTATCCTACTCCGTAAAAAAAGAAAAAGTTTGCCTCCTATCTTCGAATTCTGGAAGTTCCCTAGAGCTAAAGCAAAATAAAAGGGAGAGTGAGATCAAAATTTCATAAATTTATTTTATTATTCGTAAATTAGATAAACTACGATATATGCACAAAAATGACCGCCATAAAATTGATTGATTTGCTAGCCTTAAAATAGCTTAGCAAAAGGTATTGTTTGCAATCTGGAATTTTTTCAAGGCATTTATTTACTATTGATCCTCATTTTTATTTATAACATTAGGAGGATTGAAGATGTACATACTTTGATGCTATTGTAGAATTAACCACTTCATTTTATGCGTCTGCTTGCCTAAAGTACAACTATACTTTCCAACCTATTTTTGAATCACTATAAAGCCAAGAGCGTTTTTATTAAAAGGTAATAGTAAAGTTAAAATTTATCAATAATGAATGCTTGTTATCGCAGTGCACGTCCATAGTTATCCTTTCGGCAAATTATTTCGGACGTACGGCATAGCTTCTGGTTCTGAACATGGGCATGGGCTTGAAGGAAGTAAAATTGGACTACGCAAACCTGTCCTACTTTAAGAACGAAACAGTATAGACACTTAAAAAAATCCTATGCTTGTTTTGGAATGGCACCTAGAAGCAATTCTCTTGGCAAGAGATCATATTAAGAGAATTTACAATTATTCTCGCTAGTTGTTACATTGCATTTGTGGATCAAAGTGAAATAATTCCTGTATAAATTAATAAATAAGGCCCATCACCACCACTGCAACCACTTTCTCAAATGGTCATCCACTAACTTTGTTGAGCGCCTGCCAACAACTCTGAATGATGACTAAACAAACAAAATCGTTTTGAGAACTCCGCATTACTTTAGCATCCATTTGTATTTCTTCGAAAATCAACCGTGCCGAAATCAAAAGGGTGAACAATATTGCTTTAAACTAAAAATGAAGGGATTTACAAATGCCAATATAAGACCCTGACTTTCTGGCATGTGTATTTATGCTTTCCAAAGTGACTTGAAGCCATTTAACACTTTTGTAATGGGAACGCGGTTTCAGTCTCCATGAATGTCAGCAAGAGTGACTACAATTTCATAAGAAGTAAATGCAGAACAAACGACAGTAACTTACGCATATTTCCTATCATACTCGTGTGTGGTAGATCTAGACAAAAAAATTGATACAGGATAGGAGGGTGCAATTCCTTTTATTTTGTATCACTACATAATGGCGTCCTCAGTACCTTGTGACAGAAACCATCAGTAATGCAGTGCGGTAAACATCATCAAGTGGTCATTTAGACCTGGGGTAACTCATTTTCTACAGGTACCGCCAATATCCTGGTGCCAGGTCTGCTACGCATGCCTTCAGTCCGCTATCAATTCTCTACAGGAGTGCCTTATCTCGTCGTGAGAGCTCAAAACCAGATTAGTAGTAGTAGTGGGAGTAGGAACCACTCCAAACGACTGGAAATTCTGGTTTTCTTGGCTGGTTATCAAACTAAGGCCTTCTGGAATGCGCATTGGCTAAGTGTGACTAGATCTGAAAAGACTCACAACAAAAGGTTTGAAAGCGAGTTGACTTCTGAGAAGCCTTCAATTTAAAGTTCTTCACAATCAGTGTCTATGACGACAGAGAGAAGCTGGATTCCAAAAAAGCTCAAATTTATGTTATGGAAAGACTTCGAAGGTGATGATGGGCAGAATAATTTCATCGGTATACATTAGTCTAAGCACTACCTCCCAAGTCACATATTTCTCAGTAGGCTTCATCTAAGAGAGGGTGCCATGCTCTACAGAATGTTTTACTACCAGTAGACTTCATTCGATTCGCGATGTCAATTATTGGTGTCATCGTTCCGCTTACTCAGGATCAGTAAAAAGACTCGTTTTTGGTTGGAGGACGATATAATGGAAATATTTGCTTGAGTGATTATTAAACTAGGCAGAAGTTTCAGTTTTTTGCTGGTTCTACCGTAATCTTGTTGTCAAACCTGCTATTCACATCGGTACCCTTTAAGTCCTTCCACACACGAATACTGAAGCAGCAACAAGAAGCTTTATGGGTAATCAGTATCCGTCTTCATGATTTTAGATTAAGATAAAGTTATTCGAAATTTAAAATACTAACTTTTACATAAAGAAAGTGAAGTTCCACAAACCTTTGCCGTTTTAAGATGGGGCAAGCTAAAATTTTAGAGCTCAAGACTTACCACTCACATGGAACTCAAGGATCAGGTGCATAGCTGCAAAGAAATGGATATACTTCCTTTTATTTGCTAAAATTGCTAAAATCTTTTAACAGTTATGAACCATAAAAGTGCATCCTATTTTCACTGCAAGATCAAGGTAATTTCTATTGAAGCAAAGATTCAAAAATGACCAGAAATGAATTGTGATGAAGCTTTTTTCCAGTGTGGAAAATGCATTCCATTTGATGTTTCTTTGGTGATTATGCGCCCAAAACAACTTTGATGAACACCGCAGCTTTAAGGAAGATTCAATTTAACATCGGTGTTAGAAGAGATGCCACGCTCAGTGGTTAATGGAGTGCTGGGTTACTACTCAACGGGTACACGACTTGGGTCATCCCACTCACTCTCAGCCATGATGACAGGCACGAATGAGAATGATTGGATGCAAGTGTGTGTAGTTATGGAATTTCGAATAGAAGATGGCGTATACCACAGCGGATGTCTACCCTGTGGTGAGATGCGTAATTTCTGTTAGCAAGAGAAAGGTGGTTTAGGGTCAGCGGTCATTTTAGTCAACATTTAGCCGTTAAAATTTCTGAACCTAGATACCTGACTAACGTTTAATCTGTCTTATACCGGTAGTACACAAGGAATGAAGTAGGACCTAGACGATGTCCTAACTGCTACACTTTGAAAGAATTCCACCAAATATACGTGCAATTTTGTCGGTTGAAATTGGGGGACCTTTTAATCCTTTGTGCTTCTAGTACCTCAATAATGCTCCAGGATGTCAGAGACTTCCGTCAAATCATGTTTAGAGTGTGGTCCATTGTTTCCATCTATGTGATCCACTTGAAAGAGCTCTCTTGCAGTTTCGAAATTAAGAATGCCATCATCTTTGTTCTCCTAAACTGCGACATTTGCAGAGCTTGTGCCTCCTATTTCGTTAAGTTAAATTGAAGGCATGAAAAGGAGAGCCGAAATTAGTTTTCCTTTTAGGCTAAGTTGGGAAACAAATCTCAATGCAATCATCTCCAAGGGCGTGTATACAAAAAACGTCAACAAAATGTCGGAATTCGACCTTTCTCTGGTATGCAAGTAAGATGGTGGTACGGATGCAACTGAAGTGCCTACCAAAGCCTTGATGGCATGGTATTAAACTTCCTCCCAAGGAAAAAAAGGAACAATTGTTGCAGTTTACTTGATAGAGATCAAACTTCCATCCTTTTGGTGTTACCTTTCAATAACTTAACTCAACTACGGCTGTAGACTGCGAATAACTTGCCCCGCCTGTCTGCGTAACTAATGCAAAATTTATGTCGGCGATATGTTTGAGGCATGAAGTTTATCATTTTATTAAAAGCCTTAGGTGAAGTCCTAAATTACGACTTTTATGCTGTGTACAATTTCAGGGGTGATTCCCATGCAAACCAATGACTTAAGGTAGTGGTAGCGGTTGGTTGAAATTCTGCAACCGTCTAAGGTAGAATAAAACACTCATGTCAAGTTCTAGTGGGCTTTCATCGGCTCAAGTAGACTCCACATTGTTCTGTTCAAGTTATCCTCTTCGGCTGCTAAAGAAACATGTAAAGAGATTACTGTGGCTATCTATCCATCTACCTTTTTCTCCACCTAACTCTCCATCTGTCCCTCTATCCATCCATCTTTCTATCTGGCCATCCGTCTAATGTGGCATGTAGCTCAGGAAAATGTTTGAGTTGCGAAGCCTATCCTTTGACAATGACGTCCACGTAAGCTAGACATTTGACTCTTCTCCGGGATGCAAACTCAGTTGTGATTCTGATACAGCCCATTGACTTACTGAGGTAATGTTGGGTTGGTATTCTGCGGCCATTTGAAGCATAACAAAAACTACAACTTTTAGTGGAACTTGCGCAAACTCAAATACTTTCCCTGTCTTTTTAATTACAACCATAACATGTTGGGATGTAGCCACCTAGCTTCACCATGGCTAACTCTGGAGTGAAAGATGTTACTCTGTTTCTTCCTAAAAAAGGTCTCACTGTGACAAATGACGGTGACTTCCAACGACCTCTGGCTCAGTCTAGTTTAACATTGTGAAGTACAATTGTCGAGGTCATGAACACAGTACTATTTCAGCGTCCTAGTCTACAACCTCTTCATCTTGATGACAAAAAACAACAACCTATTTAATCGCCAACTTTTTGTAAGGTTCCTTACACACGTTTAACTTTCACTATTTCTTCTTAAAAAAGGGAAAATAATGCTAAAAAGGGAAGTTTAAATGGATAGCCGGGGCCACTACTTTAGCACTGTGCTTCCTCCACTGGTGCTGTTGGACCTAACTAAGTGAACTATTCAGTCCCGCCGAATCAATGATAGTCTCCAAAAGCAAGTAGATTTGCCTAGGACTTACATCATCTGGCTTATTTTCAGTGAAAATTTTCCCCATAATGCGACTTAAATATAGGTGTGAGATAGTGACAGCTACACGTTCTTCGACTAAATTACTTCATTACAATGTTGGCGATTTTGATGACCATTATAGATCAGTACTCAGATCTTCATCGTTCTTACAACCTCTTTAAAATAAAGTTATTGGTATTACTGCTATTAGTAAACAAAACTAGCAACTATATGGCGAATCTTTAAGCACATCCTCTACTTCGAAGACTTTAAGATGGACCATTTAAAGGAAGGGTAAACTCACACGTCCTCTTGGGTGAAATGGGCGAGGTTGACATGTGTCTGACGTTCATTGCCATACCGAGATTTTAGCCTTCAATGAATAAAATAACGAATTGGTGACTCGTTAAAATGGCTTCTAAACACAATTTTTTACAGCGTAGGAAAGGCGACTTCACTTTTAAGCGCTGAGCTCTGAGCTCATTTTCACCAAAAACCAAATTATCCCGTCCAAGCAAAGAAAATGGTGTTACTGGGATATTTTGATCAAGGTTACTGGGACAAGGATAGAATTGGAGCTAGTTCAAGTTTCAATTTTATGTGGGAAAGAAAGAAACATGCGCGAAACATGAATAGTACACATCTACACTTCCATCACTGACCACAGGTAATCTCTCTGCTTTATGTTGCAGAATATGCAAAGAAGAGAGCACATGGTTAATCCTTTACTCTGCTTTTAGTTCGCTAAGCTTAAACTGTTTGACTGCAAACAAATTAATGCTTTGGAAGAAGTTGAGCTGCCTAGTAAATGAAAGGTATCAAAGAAGCAGTTAAGCACTACTTTGGCTGTTAAGAAGTGTACCGTACTTACCCATTCTCTTCGATAGGGTCACCACCATTTTCATATTCTTTACTGGTATTCCTGCAGTGAAAGCTTTTAAAATTTAATTTGTAAAAAACTATCAAATTTGCATATGAAAAGGTCAAAACATGAAAGGTTACTGCCAGCCATGGTCTACTGATCTGGTTAAAGTAAACCGACACTTGATTACCTCAAGGACACGACCTTGAAATAAACATTTGCTACAGTAACTTGTGCTTATGTGGTGGTGTGCTTGTTTCGAATGCTTTTAATTACATTATCTGCCTTAGGTGGTCCAGCTCCTGCTTTACTCTACACAAAGGTAGAATTCATTCCAAAGTACTTGTTGCTACGCGCTCTTAATTGTTACGTGCAAATCCACGCAAAGGTGACAGCAACGTGTGAGTGTTTTCAGGTCAATGCAAGCCTTCATTCGGTATTTCTTGAAAAAAATGTAACAATAGTGTGATGAGCTGTTGGCGAATGCACTTTGACGTTGTGACGTTTAGTGTCAGAAGGCAAAAGTTGCTGATGGCATTTTAGAACCTGCTTCGGCTTTGATATGCAAGTGCAGGGATGGTTCAAATACGAATGAAAGGCTTACATGAAAGGCACTGGCTTGGCATAATGCATCCATCTGGATGTAGAAAAAGCAACCGAGTTGAGTTTCAAAGTTTCATGCTGATCTTTTTAAATGTCTTTTTAAACACTATGGTTATATTTGAATATAATAATGCGGCCATTTAATTTGGCATCTATGCATGCATATATCCACCCATCTAATCGTCTAATATAGCCCGTAAATGAGTAGTGTGGCTGAGCTGTTGAGCACATCTTATAACAATTCTGAAATTTGACAATCATCTGGTGTATTTGCACAGTAGTGATTCTGACGCAATACACTTGCACATTTGGTGGTAGGTTGCTATGTCCCATCCATCTAAATTTATAAATCGATGTGATTATTTTTGGCGAATTTTTTCTTCAGCTTATACATTGAACCTCTTTTAGGTCTTATCCTGATCCCTTAAAAACCACTTATGTACCTATCCATCCATCTAATCATTCATCTCTCTCCATCAAATTATTTATTGTAGTAGGCAGTTGAGTAATTTGACTTAGTCATGAAGCATATTCTGTGACTACAACGTCCCCCAAATTCTAAAATTTTGCATTTATTCGACAAGGAAACGCAGTAATGATTTTGATGCAGACAAATGACATGCTTAATTGGTGGTTGTGGTGGTCTGCTTTATAGGAGTCATCTTAAATAAAAGACTGCATCAATTTTTCAGATATTTTTCAACTGGAGTATTTTTATTGTTGCTGTTTTAAATAGTCCTCTTTAGCTACTGCCATGACGCTTGAATTAATGTGGCTCTCTGTCCATCTACATATCTATCAAGATTCCCACACTATTTTTTGAGATAGTATTTAACATTTCAGTGGCTTTATAGCTAGATAGCATGACGTCATGATACTGTTCCTGACGTCTTACTACTTGATAACAACAAATGGATGTCAACCATGGTCTGACAACTGCAGGATGGGAAGTCCGCTTGCAATTTAGCGTTTGACGGGGTCGAGCTCGGTTTGCTCGAAAGCAACTTCTACTATGATGACGATTGTGGGCCCCGTCAACATGAACGTCATTTTACTGAAAATCTTGACATTTGTCCACTCTATCACCCTGATGGTGGGGTTGCAAGTTTACTGCCTTACACACATGCATACCTTACCTTTCCAGCTGTGAAAATACGACTTGGTTTGCGCACGTGTGTTGGTCGCTTCCGCAAAGAAAAAAATTAAAAAAGAAAAGAAATTTTGTTATATAAATATCACTTTGAATTAGGTGGTGAAGGATTTCAGCTTTTCCTAAAATATTAAACTGATCAACTCGGTTTACATACTGAGGCTACCCAGAAAAATGATTTCACTACTCCCCATCTATCTAATTTAAAACGGCCTTGATATTTTGAAAGGCTGTAAAAGAAATCAAGGCAGGCTCAAATGACCGTTTATTCTGTCTGATCTTAAAAGTGGAATGATTCACCTCATGATGTTCCAAATTTTCATGTGCTTGTGGTTGTTGGCAAGGAGAGGAAAAGATACAGTAGATGATATTATTTAGTCATTTCATTATCTGCCAATCAGCTAAAAACTTTAATGGTATGCTTGATTTTACAGATATTTGTCCAATCACCTACAAATCTGTCACTTCGTCACCCCGCTTCATCCCGTTTCCTCTAGCTTCTGCTTCACTTTGTCATTCACAAAAACCACAGGCAGCTTATAGTCCTTATTCTCCTCTTTTCCCCATAACTCTTAATAATCCCCACTGATGAATGAGTAGTTAGTAACTAATAACCAACTGCAGTAGGGAAAGGACCACAAACCAGGATTTTTTGCGTAACCAGTCGCAAAAATGCCTTCCATTGCCTTAACATTCCAATGGTTGTAATTCCTGGAAAGAAATAAAACCCCCTCTAGCCTGAGTGATCCATGAAAGGCCTTCGCACAGAAATCCGCTTTTGGATGAATCGTGGAAAGAGGATCAAACTATACTGCACAGGCGGCAATACCTTCTTTACATGACGCATCGTTTGTGTCTTAACATAATAGTTGATGGACCGCTTATGCACAAGGTCTCTGGTTTTACTCCTCCCAACAGTTATTTTCTTTTTTGAAGGAAGAGATAAAATAGCCACTAAATTTAAGCAGTAGCGTATGTGGCTCTGGGCAGGTCCTTGAATGCCCATCCGGAAAAATGCTTTAATGGTTACGGTTAGTGGTGCGATTTTCACCTTCATTCAAAGTACAATGCAGATGTACGTCCCATTTCACTGACAGAACTGTGTCATAGTTGCTTAGTCTACGTTGAAAGTTCATTTTAACTAAATTTTTGGTCTCTCTTTGGACAAATTGTCACAACTGAGGTCAATCAGCAAATAAACATATTGCGTGAGTTGAGCTTTAAAATCCTTACCCACTCTGAAGTCCTACATAAGGCGAAATAAGTCACGCATATCATTTATTACCTAAAATGAGGAGGAGGAGTTACTTGTCATTTTGGTGGAAGAGACTACTTCTCCTTTTGTCTTCAATCAAATCATTCATCGATAGGTGGGCTTTAGGGTGGGAGAAGAACACATCCTGCACTCTCTCGTTGTTGTTGGTGCGAATTAACAAGTAAAGAGCTTGAATTTCTTGTAAAAGTATTTTTTTTTAAAAGAGCGTCTTAAAAATGAGACTGCTGATATGGTCAAGCAAATAAATGAAGGCTATTTTTCATCAGAAATTAAACAGACTGACTAATCAAGAAACAAAGCTTATCGTTGTCATTAAACCAGTGTAATGTTAAACTGTCTGTCTTATGATTTACAGCCAAGTGCATACAGCACTTCCAATTACATTTTTTACAAATTGTCAACTTTTAAAAAAGGTTAGTGACTGTAGAGGATATGCTGGTGATACGGTCTTCAGCAAAGGTGAGATATTTCATCCAACTTGAGGACGCTACTTCCTAGTCTTTAGCCCAACCCTACCGCAGTGCTTAGAGCCACCTATCTGCATTAACATTAGGGAATATATTTAATCCTCCATCCTCAAATTAAAGTGCTTTACTTGATGTATTACCTTCGCAGTAGAGATCGTTGGGTTTCCCATAAATATTTTCTAGTTTTTCCTAAATCCGAAAATTCTTTGGTCGTAGTGGTCAGCTATATAGTCAAGGCTAACTCGGGGTTGCAAATTACAACACAAGGGAACACGCGAGAAGTCTTGCCCATGATATACGCATGTTCAACATGACACTGACGATTGTGTCGGTGGAGTGAAAATACCGTGACTTTCTGTAGTTTACTGAAGTGACAAACATATTAAATACCTTTTGTGTTAGTATTATTTGCTGTGGCAGGTCAGTGCATTTAACCAATAAAATACTGCTAAATATTAAGTGCCTACGTGAATAAAAAGTACTTTTCAGCACTTGGAATATCAGAAAAAATGCTGATTATATCAGTTATGATGATTTCTACCGCAACTAATATGGTGTGAAAATCGGTAGAGCCGGCCCTTTTTCCGAATCCAAAAGCGCCAAATATTTTTAAATCGGGGCGATTTGGCGATTGCATCAGTAAAATAAGGTAAATCTATGGTAAAAATAACATACCTTGGAATCTGCTGATTGTTTTCATTATCTGAGTGGCTAAAATTAATATAAATTTGTCAAGGACGTGTTACAACTTTTCCTCATAATTTGACAAAGTACTAATGGCGATAAAATCTTAATACCAATTAATCCGCAAAGGCTTGTCTTGTTCTTTGAAGGAGAACGTTTGAATATGTGCAAAAACCCTGTCCACCACTGACTTTAACAATTCCGGAATGCATGAATTGCTTGTTTAAATCTCCATTTTGATCTCATGGTCATTAGAGACTCCGCGATCGTGCCTCCACTGGACGGTGCAGCCTTCGAGCCATGCCAGTATCCCTCATCCACAGTTTTCCTACGTCGACAAACAACATTCTACCCCAGTTATGTCTAATTTTTGCATACACATAGGCTCCAGAGACTGCATTTGTGCCTCCACACAGACATGTCAACGCTTTATGGGTACTAAACAATCTGTAAATGTGTGGGGAAAATCACGGCAGTTTTGAGTTCCCCTGTTCTTTCGTTTCAATCCACCACCGTACCTCGTTGTCACAAACAAGCCTAAACGACAGCATTAGCGTAATTTGGCCGCTATCATTACTATTTGTTTGAAGTGTGCAGTAGGTTGAACTTGCACACTTCTTCCTTCCAGCCAAACAAAATATGCCCTTTCGTTTTGTGGAAGTTGCAAGGAAAATTCGCAAGGTATGTTAAGCTCAAACAGATTAGTTATTTAAAAGCTGAATCATGCATGATTCTCAAGGCATTGCCATTTTTGACAGCGCAATAAAAGGAATGCTACCTGAATTTAAAGTTAATTTATGCAAGTTAAAATGTCAACATCTTAAGAAGTGTTCTTACATTGACATTGTCTTCTGCCTTTATTTACTTCCGAATTGTTTATTTCAGTCTCCACAGGAAAGTTGGAACAAACTCCATGCCTTAGTTTGAGAGGGAGATATAATTTCCGACCTACCTAAGGTATCATTTATAAATATATACTCTGTCAAAACCAAACACAGGTTAGTTAACATTTTGAGATCTTGGAAGTGGTCAAACTGCCACCATTTACTTATGGGAATATCAGAAGTGACTTCACAAAATTTATTACAAAAGCCATTTTTTAAGTAAAATAAATGGAACACGTACTTGACTGACGAGTCCTTCTTTTTGCGGCATGAGGTTGTCACAAATGCAACCACTGCGAGCAGGCCGACTGAAGCTCCAATGACCAGTAAAGTCCCGTAGGAAAAATCCGTAACTAAGAAAAACAATGATAAGCCGGTTTCCTGACTCCATCCACTTGCACATCACTCCCTCCCAAATAGGAAACAGACTTTACAGATAATCAGTGTGATTGCCTGTTTATGGATGCATCGAAAGGAGGAGCAAATATATATTATGATACGTGCAAATGCACTCACTGAGTAGAGTCCTTGGGTCCAAACTTGAATCCCCGGATCGAAGTGACATGGTGAATGATGATAAGACAGAGACATTGACGCAGCGGCACAAGGAGTGGTATTGTGATTTTTGAATGTGGCTTTGCTTACTGAGCTATTGTTATGCCCAACAGAAGTAAGTAAAATGGTTATTTTATATGTTTCTCCCTGCGTGAGTGGTGTATTCGAGCTAACGCACCCAAAGTCACCCAATGACTTGTGTTGTGATATTTTATGAGGATGTGTGTAGCGTTGATTACCTCTACAGCACGCCAAACTGCCTTCGTCGTTAGCTTGAACTTAGATGTCAGACACAAATAAATCAATAAGCGGGATTCGAAGAGACACCTCTTATTCATTTTTTGCTGTGCACATTCAGGGATTAACGTGATGGGATGTTTTCTGTACAAAACAGTTCCCCATTTTGACATCCCATACGATTTTATCACTACCACAAATTAAGTCTCACTTCCTAATATTCTAGTAGTACTTGCAGTTGGCACTGACCTAAGTCTCTCCATGTTTGCTTGATTTTACGTGAGGAGGCATTTTGCGTACCTCGAGTTTATCCAAAAAGACGCATTTGGGGGACTTTGGACTTCCTGTATGCTGCAGTATTCCAAAGATGTCAATTCCTATCCATACCCAGAACTAAATTAATGCGGATCCCTACTTCAAAGTCTTCATCTTTGGGTCTTCTGGTTAGGGCAACAATTAACTTGTTGCTAACTAATAGATGCTGATCAGTCATGGTTGCCAAGACCTTTGCTAATAGCTTAACCACCCATAATTTAGTAACATCAATTTGTTTAAGTAGGGCAAACTTTTTAAATGCCTTTTCCGGATGTTTAACTATGCGAATGCCCTAGCACCCGCGGTTTCAACTGCTGTGTCTCAGCAACAAGGGGACCCGCTCACGCCAGTTTAGTTAATAGCATGCTTTGTCGACATAGATGCTATCACGATCAAAACTGAAGTAATAAGGAGATAAGACATAAGGAAAAAGCAAGTAGAGCCAGGTCACGACATCTACGTGCGCGGTCGTGCTGCTAGTGCTGAGTATTGCTCTGGTTTCATTCAAGCCTATTTTGAACGACCCTGACCTCACCGTGACAATAACTACAGGTAGAGTTGGACTCCATATCATAGTGGTCGCCACAACGATAGACACTGCATCTCGAGAACAAGGGGATCTGCCTATGGCAGTTCATTTAACAGGCCTAGTTATGAGCTGACGTTTACTTGTGTAAGCACAGATGATCTCGAGATCCTAACCAAACCATTTAAGGGATTGGGCTTCGGGAAAGCAAGAACTTTAGTGCTGGCATCGTATGTACAACCACAGCAAGATATCCACTTCCGTGACTGTAGTGCAAGTGCTGAGTGTTGATTTGTTTCCGTCCTTATCTATGCACACTATTTTCAATGGCATTGACCTTACCGTGACTACAGCTACAAGTAGAGTTGGACCCCACGTCATAGTGGTCTAAGAGACGAGTCCAACTGCCGAGAATATTAAAGCATATTCCATTATCTCTAACGTGTTACATTTCAAAATGTAATTTCTAGGGTGTTTAAACGATGATGTTGTAGACACCTCTACTATCAACTACCCCCTCTCTCTAAGCAATTCTCTTCACCACCGTCCTTACATCCGAGGAAAGCGATCGGAAAAGGCATTAAACACCTGGCACTTATGGGATCAGGCAACTCGTGTTTTGATTGTTGATTCGTGAAAAGTGTATTCAATTCACGACAGCAGCATTTGCCTTATTGCGATACAAAATTTCTTCCAATTTTCCACTTCCTGCTCTTTTGTTCACTGGAAGCTTCAGTCATGCAAAGTAAGCAGAAATTCCACCAACAAATATCCTCACTATTTCCCTATCAAAGCCACAAAAGTTCCCTACAAGGAGGTAGCATCATAACCAGGAACGGATGCAGGGAATCCTAATAAATCATATGTGTGATTTAATAAAGAGGGTTTTGATGTGTAAGAACTGTAGTCTTAGAGGATTACAAATAGTCTCTTACTTGGATTATGCAGAATTATTCTTTTCTTAAGTAATATTCTCGATGGGTTCTAAAAGTTGACCTTAGCTTCTGCTTTATAGGGCCTTAGAAGTACACTTTTCGAATCGAAAAATGTGAAAACAGCCAAATGATAGCTTTGGAAAAGAAGCAAAAACTATAAGTCGTCAAAGCCACCCACCTTTCATAATCGTGCGAAAACCACGCTACCCAATCCCATTATCCACACATTCCACGCGACTTTCATTGGTCAGATGCTTTGCTAGGCGTACGTGTGTGACTCATCCGTGCGCTTTCCCATTGGCCGTCCGCAAGAAAGCGCGCTGTCTTTGCCGGGGTGCTTCGCACTTCCATTGAATTCCGTTTTATTCTGCTAGTAGTTGGAAATACTCTCAACGTTTTGAATTCTAGACTACTAATAAGCTAGATTTTTAAAGTTCTTAGCGCTATTTGATAAAATTGTCAGGTGCCCACTAATTAGTTTCAATTAGCAACATATAACGGATTTAAATAATGGCTATTCAATTCAATCCACAATTTCCATAGGGTCTTACTGTACATATTATAGCCATAAATTGTCCCATATTAAGCAAAATCTAGACTCGTGTACATAAGTTGGTACAAAATTTAGGCTAACATTCAATCGAACAGGGGTAAACCTCAATTTTCCTTTTGCGGGTTCCAATACTAAGCCTGGTTTATTTTTAAAGGAAAATTAGAAAGTGAAAAGCCACCTGTGTTTGGCTCAATTTTCTTGGTTCTTTTCAATTTGATGCACTTTTAATTCACGTATAGATAGCTAATGAAATAAATTAATGATTGGAGATAAATGAATAGCGCCCCACAGGGCAGTAATTAGCGTCCCACGTTCTTCACAGGTGGAGCACAGAGAGATGGCAGGTGATCTTTTTCACAGCGAAGGCCTTCGCAGCAATCGCAGTCATAACGACAGGGCAGCCAACTAGGAGTACAGAAGACATTGGCACAGGGCTGATTGACGGGGGGGTTCCTGCTCACGGTGGCCATCCAATCGTTTTTCGTCGAATTTGCTCTCCACCTGAACGCTTTCGGCTTGCTCTCTTCTGTGGTTTTTACACTCCGTACTCTCTTTAATTGGATCGCCAAGTGGAGACGCTGAATCTCGCTTTGGCAAGCCCATGTTGTCATGGTAATGGTGAAAATGAAAAGGACTACTGAAAAGAGAATAGGGTGAATTCTTTTTGTGGAAAGTCCTAACCAAATTAATAATCTTAACTTGAATTTGTGTCGTAATAGTTATGTCACGTTTAAACTTGTTGTTACTACATTTTAAATGTAATCGAGACAATTTGTTCTTTTATCCTGGAAAAAGCAAGAAGAGCTGGGCCGAGGCGATGGCAAATGCTGCCGATGATTAGTGGACCTCCAAGTAGAGACAAAATGATATTTAATTTAAATGTTTAAGCCAACTCGTTAATCACAGCGGATCTCAACGCCATTTAGGTATCATGACAGCCCACCCATGCCTATGGGCCCTTCCGCATTTTAGTTTGTGTTCGTTGTTGCAATTTTGAGGGTAACTTGGTTAAAACATCCGTGGTGGCATCAACAAGTTCGATTCAAATAAAATAATCCAATTTTTATAATAATAAAATCATGCCTCAACGTCAGGGAGGAGAGGTGTTCAATGCGAACAGCGGGATTAGCATAGACTCACAACAGAAGGGTTATAGAGACCATGAAAGGAAAGTAAAATGGATTGAGTTGTAAGCACCGCGTAAAATAACTATGTGCAAGTAGCGAATTTGATTGCCTTGTAAAAGTTGACCCATTTCCCGAGTCTCGAGAAGCTCCATGCAGGTTAAATCACAAGCAGTAGCTGAACTTGAAGGCTGTCACTTTCTCCTTGACACAGATCAACTAGATCGGTCTTTTATATCATCGTAGCACCAAGGGCATAATGTATACTTAGGTTGTATTTTAATATGACTCCTGTGGCAATCGCTTTTAGAGTGCCACCACACTCTAACCCATCATTAAGTTGGTAGCACTAAACAAATTTAGCCTTTCCTTATTCAAGCAATCATTTAATAGGAAAATTCGAAGATGACGGATTCGTGTGGCAATCAAAAATTCAATCGAGCTATTTCAAAAGGTCAAAAATGGTGAGGTCAGCTGCTATTGAAGCGAATTTACTTTGAGTGGTAAAACTGAACAATTACTAGATTACCAATGTTACAACCGAGTTTTTCTGAGGAAAATATGAGCTCTAGTACTTCTAGATAAAACTATGCGATAAAATTGTGCATAAGAGGGATTAGACTGTTGACATAAATGAGGATCACAAGCATAGCATCATGACAGTAAGATATTGAGCTAGACTTACGGAGCCAGCGAATCTGAATCGGCAAATAAACTACTAAAAAATAATTCCGTTGCACTGTCTTAGCCAAATCATTTAAAATGTGTTTTGCAGTTGGAAAGTTGTTGCCCTATCAACAAGCCGAGTATAGCATTTGAGAGACATTACATTATTTCACTAAAACGATTTGATTTGAGGTCAAAAGCTGCATTATGGCGGATATTATGAGTCACATCAGAGTATGCTGTTATTAGTTTGCATCACCCACGTTACAAAGCGAGTATGTTGTAATGTCAGTGACTTATAGTTCTGCTCATGGTAACCAATAGCGCTTTCTAGGCCAGTTTATTTCTTAACATATCGGAGGGCAATTTGTAGTCTCTCTTCAAACTCAGGCAACATTTTTAGGTTGTTAATGCATCACTCATATTGTAAGCACAGCATAGCAAAATAATAAATAAGCACTGTGCTTTTTATATCGACGGTTTTCTAATACTTATAGCTTCACAATTAATGATCTTCGATGAACCAATCATCATCGGATTGTTAATAGCCAATCAAAATCCCAACAAATAAGTTGTTTGTTTCTTGCATTATATGCGCGCAAATTTCCGCCTATCGTGCTATTTGGCTAAAAAGGAAACATGTTATATTTGTCCCTGTCCAAATATTCCGTTCAATCTATTGTTTTGTTTGCACGACTAACAAAATGAAGGTCAAAACCTCACCACCACGATTATGTACACAAATGCATACAGTGACGTCTGATTGCGCAGTAAAAGTATGAAGAGTTTTCAGTTTCTTAAAAATGTATCAGCGCATAAATCCGGAGTGTGGATTCACTTAACTACAGTGGAAGGATTAATATTAACTTTCTGGCACCAGAAGAGGTAGAATTTATCCCCCATTAGAAATCGATTTATATTTCATTATTATGCGCCATTGTATGTTTATTGTTTTGGCATGGTTACCATGGAAATTATTTGTTTGATAGATGAATCGTCTTAGCTGCATGCGTACAAATTGCATCAGTTGTTTGGAAACTTAAGATATTTTTGAGGAAAATATTGCATGTTCTGCTTTCTGTCGTTAATTTTCTTGTGTGAAGCATCAAAGACCTATTTTCAATGTCATTCGTTGCCTTTGGAGAATCAGGTATAAAGTCCCACCTTCGTGCTATGTGATCGTGGCTGTGGTTAATTAAGTGGCTGCAGTGGTCTGCATTCATCACACCAACACGATTCTACGATGGAGAAGTCTAATTCAATGATTGGATTTTATATTATGCCAACGAATAAAGTTAAAGATTTTGATGAAGTTGTACCTCTATTTTTATAGCAGATTGACTACTTACGTAGCAAAGTACAAGAATAGCAAGTTTGTCTGACGGAAGCAGTGAAATGACGCGACCTTTTCAAAACAACAAGATCTGTTCAAAACAAACGTTGGTTAAATCAAAAAATTAATGAATTTGAAAGCAAGTCTAAAGAGTTACTTCGGAGGAAGTTTGGGTAGACTATATCTTGCCAAAGGAGCAGTCCATATTTTGGGTCGTAAGGTTAGTTAAGGTGGAGCAAAAATCTGGTCCATCAAACTCAACACGCAGTGGCAAGTCGGCGCTTGTTTTTCCTTTTATTCTCACACACAATCCGACCACCACGGCGACGCCATGGACCAGTAGCGTTTGTTTCCGACACTTTCTGTAGGTTAGCGGCAAATAAAACTAGCTTCTGGCTAATATGTGGTATGATGCTTTTTGGACTACCCCAGACCCTACATACATTATTTGCTGCGCAATCATTATTCTTTACTAACCTAAATGGCAAAAAACTTATGAAAAGGTCGACACTAATAACTTTTCGTAGGGTGTTTTAAATGGGAAACAAAGACTTAAAAAGTAAGTAATTAAATAGGCAGGCGTGTATAACGATCGAACATGAATATCTGCATGGAAAATCAGCCATACCCAATTAAGACACATAGCTACACTCCTCGGAAAAAGGAAGATTATAAAATATCCCTTGTGGCATCGAATAAATTAGCCATTCTTCCCAAAGCCCTTTTCAGAGATATGAATTTTAAATTCACACATAGTATGGCGGAAAATTTTGCATTGGATATTATACGGCAGCGAGTTCCAACCAATGAGATTCAAGAGCTCCAAATGCCATTTGAAGTAACCGTCTACGCATTTTGGTCGCGAATTTGGTAACGAAAAACATAAAAAACCTCCAAGCATGAGCTTATATTGTAATAATACTTACTAAATTTGACGTATGACAAAATAGTGTGATCGATTGAATACAGGATCCGCATGGTTTAACAAAGGATAAAAATGAAAAAAATTGCAAACAATAAAACTGTGCACACATATTTTTTATAGCCTCTTGTTATAGTTACGCACTAGTACCTGAAACATTTTGATAAGGAAAGATACCAAGACAGCTTGCTTAATTTTGTCATCGTTGTTGAAATATCATCCTGGTTGCGTGTCGATCAGCCGGTCAGGAGGAGGTTGAATAGCATGCTCACAGGAGCCTGCAAGCCCGAAGCTACCGTAGTCCAGAGCATCTCCAAGAGTTACAGCTTTAGAAGACTCTCTCTCCTTGAAATCCAAAGGCATCAATTTTACAAAGGTAAATTCTCCCTTTTCACGCCCATTTCTGACAATCCAGAATTACTGGAACTTCTCTTTCAATTTGCAGGCAGGAGTTAGAGACATGCGCTATGTGTGCCGCGCAACTAAGGTTGTTCAATGAGATTTAGTTAATACGTTAGTCTTATTCAAGTAATTGAAGAGATTTGAACTGTTTTACACAGCACTCTGAAGTGAAATTTTTATCTTATTCAGTCTACTGATTAGAGTAATAAGTAGCTATTAGGGGGCTGGAAACCTTCAGCGCTACATCCTAGGCCATTATCAAGGCGAGATATTTGTACTTTATCAGCTCGTGACTTTTAAAATGGAAATGGGAAGGCTCAATTTGTCTTAAAATGCCCCCTCCCATATGAAATACCCTCATAATTAAATATCAAAAATCACCTTTGATTAAAAAAGGAGGTAAAATATTGAATAACTCCTAAGTTGAACTTAAATAGTGATTTTCATAAACAAATGAGATACAAAATATCTCATTAATGGGCAAATTTTGGCTCTGTTACTATCTTATCTACCTAAAAAATTAAATTTTCCTTATTTTTAGTTGATTAGCAGATTCCGCATTGCAACGACAGTTTTCACTGCGAGGTCTATCTGTCGCCTTCGCACAAATCTTTGTTACAAACACTGGATTCACAAGGTTGGCAAATGACAGGCGACGGAAACACCTTTTCACACATGTGATCACATGCCGCTGTGTGTGTGTGTGTGTGTGTGCGCATTTAGGCACCTCGTGATGGCGGCGAAGTTGTAACCCCCATTTCAGCAGAATGTCGTAGTGGGACTGTGCACACAAAGGAAGGCAGTGATTAGTTTGTCTTGCCAACAACATACGGCAGTAAAATTTGCACGGATAATAAATTCATTCATTTATCTAAGAAGAAGTCAGATGATACCTTCTAAGCGACTCCGGTTCCTGCAATGTGAATTGCCCTTTGAAATGGCCCGCGTTGCTGGTAGCAAGAAGTAGTAACTACAAGGATTCTTGTTTAGGGGGCACTTATAACCCTTCTGACTTCTGAACAAGGTCAGCAATAGCTCAGATTGTAGGAGACAATCGGAACTCAGCTGCGGTGCCAGAGTTACCTCTGAAGAGGTGATCAGGGATTCGAGTCTAGAAGTAGCAGCAGCAGTACCAGCGGCAGAGCTCAATGCCACTGACGTGGAAGCAGAATAGAGGGAGAATAGATAAATTCATATTAAAATGGAATTTACGGTTTCCCCATTAAAACACTGTCAGGGTCATCGGAGGAAGGTACTTGCCCAGCATCGGTATGGAGAATGCGGTATTGCGCTAGACGCTGCAACAGCTATTACAGCCATTCAATCTGCTAGGAGGCAGAATTTGAAAATCAAGACATTTCCGTAGGTATGGAATGATGAAAAGGCCACTTCCCAACAACACGAATCGCAATTCATTTGTAAGGTTAGTGTGAAGCGATACTATGCAAGCATTAAATCCCCCGACGGTAATTCCAGGGCCAAATCATGGCGGCCGTCAACACCCCTTGTGAAGCAAACGTAATTTGAATTATAAAACACTTTTAAGAAAAAAATCTAAACTTTCATTCTTTAGAGCGGAAAAGTGAAGAATAATTATATAAAAGTGGAGCTAAAAGATAAAGTTGAATGAAACGGTGGAATATGCGTATTACCTGTAGCCAAGGTGATTGGCAGTGGCATATTAAGAAGTGACAACCAACACGATTTGACAGCCTGATTTGACAAGTTGCGCCTAACGAACCAATAAAAGAGAACCTTTTTGATGCACTGATTATCCAGTGTGATTAAATACCACTGGATCTCTCTCGCGATGTTTACAACTAAACGCAGTCGATGTGCAATGTTGCAGCGGAGACAAATGTCTCTCACACGTCATTCTGTGCAAAACAAGTATAAAAAAATATTCATTTTTTCTGATTTTATGTTTTGAGATGAACATACAAGTATTTTTCATGTTTACCTGTTTATGAGGCTTTTTCGGAAGTAAGCACATGCATACAATCACTTGCCACGCAGTGTCAAGGTCGATTGACATGACTGATATCCACTCCTTGAAGGTCAATCCCTGAGTAGGTGGATTCTGTTTAAACTACTTGATGACAAGTAAACCTTATTCAGTTAACTGTCGATGCTTATAAAGCGGGAGAATTTCGGTCAGATGAAGTTTTGATTAGGGCGGATATGTGAGGGGTTCTACGCTTCTCGTGGCAGAAAGAACGGAGGTCTTGAAAAATACACTTCAAAAACTTCCTTTTTATGCATATCACGACAGATTGAGGCGATTCTGCGTAGAACATGGTGGAAGGAGTTGAGTGAACTCCTCACTAATAGAGCTAACACCTGGTCGCATTTCTCGTGACCTTTGGTTGCCCTCCAAAATAACACTTTTCTACGTTATCGCCAATTTTGAGGAAACCGAGAAGACTGTATTAACATCTTGTGAGTGAAAAATCATAAACCAGGATTTCTAAATATTCTGCCAGAGGCTCTAGTGCGCTTCGGCTCATGCACTTGTCAAAAGATGACGGATGGCAATTTTTCCTCACTTTTTACGAAACAAGATAAAACATGTGATTTAGATTTTTCACATTACAAAGAATGATAATAGGCATGACACCTATTCTCAGGATGGATAAAAAATGCGTTTTGGATGGAATTCTAAAGCTTTGACAGAAAATCAATAAATATATGGCATTAAAAGCTCCACCATTTTGCATAGTCTATTAGTAAGGAAATCCAAGAGTCTATTCAACTTACCGTTACTCCCAGCATAATCACTACAATTGAAAAAGGAGGAAAAGAGGAATCCTGCGCGGTAAGTTACTGGCTTGACGGCAGGAAGTTTCTGGCTGGTCATGATTGACTAACAGTGCATTCCAGAGAGAAGCTGTCACCGTGGCTTCCCGTAAGGCTATTTTGCAGGCGAGGTAACTGATGATGAATGAGCTTTAAGAGTTAACTTTTCGGAATCAAGTTTTAACCAAATAAAAGTCGCATTTTCGAAAAAAAAAGGAAATGCTTATTCCCCCTTTCCTTGATTAACTTGATGCGACAATCCGATTGGCACATCTGTGCTGTTTTGTTGACCTGACAGTTTTGATAAATGAGTAGGCATAGTAACAGTGTCGATGACCTTCTAGGCTATAGTTGTACTTAATGTGGTGTTAATATTAAAGAAATGTCTGACCTGAGGGATAAACTCATTTGACCTTCATGACATACCTACCAGAAGTGCGCTGGTACTGGCGGATCGAAAAAGGACAAAAGGCTGTCAGTGTAGACCGCTACGACCCATGCAAGTGTTCACATGCATGGATGCAGTGGATGTGTCCTGCTCTCTACCAACCTCCTGTTATCTTCAACCCTCGCAATACCGTCGTCCAACCTACTGAACCTGTTAGCCTCGGTTCTAAAACTACAAAAACTTCCTGTAAAATATGGTGGTTGAAACTTAGCAGAGGTGTGGTTACACAATATGCCTCCTAGAACCAAATGGTATAAACACTTTGACATTCAAAACGACCACCTGTTCCCGAATACAAAGAATTGTGTGCCAGCGTTAACAGATTTTCGTGCCAAAAACCTCGCACCGTGGTTGACTGAGAGATAAATAATTGGTCCACACCTATACCACCCAAAAGAGGGAGCTAAACTCGAAAACCTGTCGACACATTGGTCTTCACTTCCTTCTTCTCATGGGTGGATTTCTTGTTGGCTGACTCGTAATGAGAAGTACCTATCGTGCTGCAACGTTTGTTAAGCGAGTGTTGACATAAAATTGACTATTTCCACCTAAACAATCCATTTGATGTCCCATCCGACCAAGGTCTTCCTACTCGATACAAATCGCTGCAACTCCAAGGGGTTCAAGGAAACTTCTTTACTTTAAAATACACAGGATCAGTGAGCGAAAAGTCCAAACCTTGTACTTACATGATAACACGAGACCCATAACCTCACATAGTGAAAATTACTCATGAGAAAACCTCACGATGTAATTCAGGGTGGGAACAAGGTGGTAAATACTGCTTCATTCTCATCCACAATACGCACAGCGCCCTGGCGACAGCTATCCACGTTAACAACCTGAATACCACTTCGTGCAGTCTCCAGGTAAAGTTCAGGAATCACAAGCACTCCTTGAAGTCGCAATAAGCCACAGCAACAGGGAAGGTTCATGATTAACGCATAAATAGGCGCGCCCGACAGACCATGTTATCAGGCGAAGGCAGAAACCAAAAAGACAGAAGAACCCTTCGTAGTCAGGCATTACGCAAAACAAGCATAAAAACCTCACGGTACTATTCAGGTTTAACATTCCTGGTCCCATGTATAAAGCATAAACCTGCATTATTTTATGAAGAAATGGTCAAATAATTGACACCCTTGGGAGGTCAAATAGAAGAATTGAGCGCTCAGCTGCAGTTACCAGAAGTACAAAATTAATGTTTATGCTAGTTCCAACACATACTATGCATATTTAACTTCTAGTAAACGGAAACAAAGCCACAAAAGCTGATCTCAAAAATTACAGTAAAGCACGAAGTGCAGTAAAGTACAAATCCGATTCACCTGTTGAGATCAAACAGAAAAAGGAAGAAAAAGCTATGCTTCGAGACTATAATACAACTTTCTGTTCTCCACCAGAAATAAATTTGTACAACTCGTCACATGTGCACATATAGCTAAGGAGAAAGTACAATGGACTTAATAACTGAAGCGTTTTCCTCTCCAGTCCTGCTCAAACGCGGAATGTGAGCTAAGCTTTATCCCCTGTTTCATTATCCTCTAACCGGTTGACAGAGCGATAGGATTGCTGGCGACTGTGGCAGCGGTCGTAGCAACAGCACTGGTAGCAGTGACTGCGCTCTCCTCCGCTGTTTCTACCGCTTTCGGTGAAATTGGTGAGACGGAGAAGAAGAGCTTCATCGGCCTTGCGTCGCCACCAACATAGCCGTTTCGCTTCGCTCGCACCCACGATTGCGTGCAGGAGTATATACACACTAGGTCAGAGAGCGTGAATTCAGATGTGAACTGCTCTCCTTCACTGACGCCACCATTCTCAACAAAAAAGAATTCCACCGCGTGCTGAGTCGGCGAAAGGTCGAACTTGAGGCGAACCAACTTCTCCAGATGGCCCACGGTGAGGGAAGGAGGGCAGAGAAGGTAGGTAGTAGACTGGATGCCCACCGGTAGCAACGGACCGCATCGATCGCGCCACAGACTTAACTCGATGCTAACACGCTCCTCCTCTTTCTCCACGTACGCGTTAAGACTAATGTCGCCGCGCTTCTCGGGGCTTAGAAGACTGCGATCCTCCGGGAGAAGGGCTGGTGAGGTTGACGAAAAAAGGCCTGAATATTTTGTACGAGTTTAGCAGCATAGTGTATGACGTCTGCTTCATGAGTTTATAACCATGAATTACACTAAATCGCGAGGCAATTAGATACGCTGAGTAGCAGTTAAACTGACCATAAAAAGTAAAAACCATTTGCCATATCAGAGTAGAAAAAGAAGGATGTTGTTGCCGACTTACCTCTAAGACCTTTGGTAGAAAATGCTAAGAACCAGAAGAAGCCAAACACCACATCACTTCTATATTCATATTTCAACAATCTTTCATCAGTGACAAAGGTAGGTTTGAATCTACATGTTCTGTAACGCCTACGGGGACTGTTGAAAGGCTACATTGACAGAAGCGGCAAAGTTACTTATAGGGAACAGTATCAATTCCCATTTCGATGACAGTATGGCAAACTTTAACACTACAAAAAGAGGAAATTAGCTGCGGGTGTCTAGACCTGTAAATAATAAGGGAAAGATGAGAAGCACGACCCTGAACTAGGAAAACTACCCAACATCGGTTTCTTCAGTAATAGTCAACAGCAGAAGACCAGAACTAAATAAATAAAAAAACGTGCGGAAGGAAACTGCTAAAGTACAACATATTGAAGAACTGACAAGTCCGTATTTTCCAAGAGGCTAATAGAAGCTCAGACAGGCGGCCAACCGAATTGAGAAGGGATATAGAACGTAGGTCCATGGAGTAAGTCCATTAAATAGCTTCGTTACTACCAACGCTGTTCAGCATACGAAATGTGCAGTGCCAACATAGTTCCCCTTTCAGTAAAGTATGGCAAAAGATTTCCCACAGTACAGTCCGCGGTTAGAATTGTCGTTGAAGTCGAGTCATATCATGGTGGTGGGAAACCATTCCAGGTCCCCCATTCCTGTTCCACGACCAATTTCTACTCGTTAGAATGATATTGTGATATTCATAGCAGAAGAATGACCATAGAGAAGGTTGAAGGCAACACTCAAAGGAATAGGTGATTAAGCACATTTGACTATGTCAGACTTCAGTTTCTTGAGGTTCGGTTACCACACTGATGGCGCAGGGCTCTATTCACACTGTCCATACTACCCGTCTTCCAGTCCTTTGAATTTGCTTTTAACGTGAAATTACTAAAACAGTGTACAGGGCTCAAAGCAGCATTAGATTTCATTTACGAAAAATAGAAGAGAAGGACTTTTTATGAATGATTGAAACAGCCAAATCGGGAGAAAAAAAAAACTCAACAAAACTACAGGATTTCTACTATGGATTGGATTGAATGACTCCAAAAACGCTCGCAGCGAAGTACTAAAGGTTCTCACCCATTTACGCTGCAAGATGTTGCAAATGAAACGTCACGGCGCAAGGCTATAAATTAAAATAATCTTCTCCCCCGAGTTACACATCCATTGTGCAATAATGTCTAGGTTTCAGTCCTGTCTCTTAAGTTGTATTTCTTTACGCTTCAAAACGAAGAACTAACGATGGCACTAGCCTTGAAATGCACGACACTTAAGGGGATAGACCTCTTTTCTAGATTCCAAGTTCATAAAACGTGACTCCCTGTCTTGCGAGTGGTCGTAAGGCACTCAAGTAGTACTAGGGCTCATTATTCTGTGCATGAATAATAAGCCTGCTCACGTTTATGGAGGCGGGTTGTTAGGGTAAGTAATCCAAGTTACAATATACATAAAAATGCAATTGTGGAAATACTGGATCGGAGCTTCAAAGAGCTCCAATGCATTTTAAATAACCCAAACAATTTCATAAAACTAGGGACAATTCATTCCATGATTTAACGCATGGTTAAGATTCCCCTTGTAGTATGGGACAATCTCAAGACGTCATGTTTATCAATTTGGAGAATAAATTCAAAGCCCCTGTAGTTCTAACTCTAAAACAAACCACTCATTCAAAATTCATGACAGATTAACAAGCATCAAACGTACGAGGATTTAATATCAGTTGTAGTAAAGCAACAGGAATCGAGTGATGGAACTTACACTTATAAAAATTTCTTCTGGAAGCCATTTCGCGGTCGAATACCTCAGGAAGCAACTTGTACACTATTGCCTGCATGGCATAGTCTGATCGGATAGCGCACTGGGGACGTGTTTTGTGAAGGAGAGTATCACAAACGGGGCAAGTGTTATGGTTGTCAAGGTAGTTGATAATACAAGTTTTGCAAAAGGAATGTAAGCATTCAACGACCGTAGTGGCGTCAATGATGTAGCCTTTGCAAAGATGGCAGGTAAGTAGATGATTAAGCTCTACAACCGGAATATGAGTCACCTTGTCCATGGTTTAAAATGATGAGGCAAGAATGAAGGCGGCATTCATTAAGAGATCTACTACACAAGGAGACACGACGATTGGTATTCCTAATGTCAAAAATCTGCTTTCGCAAAAGTGGAACTCCAAAAAATCAGATTTTTCTTACTATACACTTGAATTAAGGGTAAGAGGGATGCATGACTATATGTACGGCCCCGGGCCCACTTAAACCACCTGTATGATATAAAGATTACTTAAACAAAAAAGAGATGCAAGGAAGTATTTTTGTAGTGTTTACTAGAAACACTTAATTTCAAAATATTTCTATGAGTATATTATAGTTACCCAATAATTAATAATAGTTGAATAAAATTAATTTATTTTCAAAAAACGTCCAACTTTTTTGGACAATAAAGGAGGCATTTCAATGGCATACCTAAATATAGCTATGGGTAGCTTCGTATAGCTACTTAAAAGCTAATTTCAAAGTTTACTAGGTAAGAATTGTCAATCATGGCAAAATATGCACACAATGAAATATATTTTATCTTAATATACCATAGTTCTGTGTCAATTTGAGATCGCGTACTGGACGCAACAAATGCGAGCGCATTAATCAGCCATTCAATTGATTATTGAGTGCGAGAAGAGTTAGCTATCACTGCACTCCGTACAATCACTTCGCTACTTCTAGTCACTCTTTGCGGTGCAGACAAGATGATGCATATTTATGTACCACTTCGCAGTGGATTTTGTAGCCACCTTTGGAGAGGATATGCCATACCTCTTCTTATAGCATCTTTATCCATTATCGGAGTCTTTGCTGTCCTTCTTGTCAGTCTGTCACTTCTTCTATGTACCTACCGAAAAGGTGAACCGAAGTTCGCGGGAGGGTCATGCATCGGTGAGGATTCCCTACTGTATATGGAGGGAAATCCTTTGTCTTCTTCTCCAGCAAAGTCTGATGATGACGAGGACGTACTTTTTGACAAAATTCGTGATGTTTTTATACCAAAATTTTTCAGGGTAGACACCGTTAGTGCTCCCAGCTTGAACCCTCCTCAGATACAATCAACTGATGTAAGTTACCCTCAAATATTCCAGCTTAAATGATTGCTTTTATACATTCCTACCAGTATATCATGATACGTTTTGCAGTTACTGGCACTCGTTACAACTTTTATCAACAAAATTAGGTTTTGAAATAAATTGAGGATATTTGTTTTTAGCATTCAATGAAACTGTTATTGGTCCAATAACCTTCAAACGTTTTGTTTAAGAAATATTCCATTTTCGTTCCTCTATTTTTTCCTTACTTTATGCTTACCTTTGTGACTGCAAGACCATTGTGCCTGCTGGATCGCGTCGCGTTCACCCTCTTAATCGATTTTTTGGCTCTAACCGAGAGTTCGCATGCACCGAGGCCCCACTTGATGCACCGTCACAGCCACAATTCGGTTGCTTCTATCACGACAAAACTAGCTATGATTTTAACAATTACAAAACCTTTTTTTGTTTTATCTGTCCTTTGGTTGATTTCGGTGGTTAGGGAAAAGATTAGGGGAAGCAAGAATTTACTTAATGAAATATGGTTGACTAGAAAAATTACTCTTTTGCAGGGCGCGTAGGCGGAACCTAGGAGGTAAAGTTTGTAAAATATCATTTTTCAAACCAAAAAGTGGCTAACAAAGTAGAAATACACAGTGAAACATGTATATCCGTAAGAAGGGCAGTTTGGAAGTTAAGAAAATGATGAGATTTGTCTCTAAAATAAGTCGGTTGCCCAAAGCCGATGCAAAAAACCCTTTATGAGCTTTTAGAAAATTGAATATTGAATAAATGGGAGTTTTAATTGGAAATGACACTTATAAATCGTGCATTTTCACAATAAATCCTGAAAATGACTTGGTTTAAATACGATCAACACCCTCATTGGCATTGTCTGTATAACTCAGCAGGATGAACGGATTTTCCTTTTGTTAAATAACATTTGCATTGGAAAGGCTTGCTTACCTAACACTTGTGGTATTGTCTGTGTTTGTGTAAATTTTTTAGAAGGAAAATCCAAACATTCAAAATTGCGATCGTCAGATTCATGAGGCTGGATTGGCCGAAATTCAGAAAGCCCTCCTCGCAGGACAACAAGTTATTTCACACCGTCAGACTGAGGTGAGATCTGTCTGCCGAATCTGAATAGAATCCATTGGAAAGCAGGATCTTATTTTCAAGAGATAAAATGTGTCTATAGTTCATTTGCCCCGCTTGCTTTTATCGCTGTATGTTAGAATAGCCTTCTGTTAGACAGGTCTCGTTTGAATTCTCTCCATCCTGTACCCCCCGGGGGTAACCATGACATTCTGAGTAGGACAATCACAATTGAATATTCTCAGTTGCAGATATTTGAGTACTTTACAAGAGCTTCTTATCTGATTTCAGGTGGAGGGTGGAACTGTTGAAGAACCGAAATCCATCATGGGACAATTGTGATGAAAGGAGAAGATCCCTCATTTCTGCAAATACACATTTGTGAAGTTAAATACATGCCACTGCAAATCGCTTCAAAATTGTCTATTCTAAGTCAAGAAAAGTTCCACATGAAGGCGAATCTCTCCTTTAAACGCAAGTGATTTTATGTTGGCATTTACTTAATTTTATGCGAGTAATACTTTTAATAACTTGAGGTGTTTATCTTTCGTGATGCACAATTTTATTACAACAAATAAAACAAGTCCTGAAGTCATTGACACAGCAAACTTATGTAGCACCCCATGACTACTCTAAATACGAGAGAGGCCAATACTGGGCCACATTATGTTCTGCTAACGTAGAGAAGGGTTTGAAAGCTGCTGTTATGGCTCATATGGCATAGCATCGGTTAATAGTACAATAGCGGAGACTGGAGTGCCCACTGAACTAAAACGAAGAGCTATGTAAATAATCCAAGTGTCGCACGGTTCTCCTTTCCATTTGAGCATTGTGCCTGGCACTTCTCTTGCTCAACCTCGCCAGTTGGTGGGACAGGCACCGAACTTGCATCCATCTATGAGCATATTTGGCCTCGATGCCACGGATTCCTCTTGACACTTTCGCTGAGTCTGGACTTTCAACCTGATTGGAGACTTTATTGGAGGAAGGGAGAATATGCAGATCATCACGAACATCCACCTCTAGTCGTAGGGTCATTGACCTTAAAGCAGAGTCATTTACTAAAGGATAGGATTTAAAGTGCTTTCGCGTGAGGGGTTGGATTTTAAGCCTATTTTGCTTTGCTAAAATATCAGCTTTCCTAGCGAATGTAAAACAGGTTAGTCTCTGCTTTTGGAGAGTAGCAAATCCCGAATAAGAAGTGAATCTCCTCATGCCAAAGGTGTTTTAATAGATTAAGTCAAAGAACCACTGCAATAAGCAGTGATTATCATAAAAACTTACATATCTTGGAAGTAGACATCTAGCAATGCAAGTGAAGGCGGACAGTGCTGGCTTCCACCGACAGAGACATGTTGGATAGTAGTATAGTGATAAGCAGACAGTGGTATATGTCGTAAATTCCTACGTGCAATTACATTACGAAAGTGTGTAGCACCAAAACGGTAGGAAGAATGAACAGGAATGGTAAACTTGAACTTTATTAATGACACTCGTTGGGTGTTGAGAAAACTCTCGAATGTCGAATAACTGATTGGGGATTGATCTCAAGTATTGGACCTCCTCATGGTAGTTCCTTTAGTAAATGCCTCGTCTGCGCCTGAAATGGCTTGATATGACCGCACTTCATCAAAATTTGAAGCAGCAGAAGAAACGCTTAGGTACGGACTTTGGAATGTGAACCCCATCTGATCCGGATGACATCCAACTTACATGTTGTAAAGGGCTGTGTTGGAATCCGCCCGATGACAGAGTGGTTAGCTTCTCTATGAGAGATGAAGCCATATCATCGCCATGACTGATGTTTATGCAAGGTGGCATTGGCGGCGCATTCGCAACACTTTTCAAAGAAGAGCATGAAAGTGATCACCAAGAAGATGATGAAATATGGACGGCGTGGAGCAGTAGACAGATGACGAATAGTGGTCTCGTAGCCTTTGCTTAACATATTTTGCAAGTGAGGTGGGAGTGGTTGTCTGCTACTAGCACTTGTGGTAAAATTTATCTGTCAAATACCTTTTTAATGAGGACACCAGGAAGTTCGTGACTGAACAAATAAGCAGGAAAATTTCGGACCGGTGAAAGAGAAATTTACAATCACAAGGCATAGTATTTGCCCAGAAGTGGGCCACAGTAGTCAGTTTGTACATAACGGTACAAAGTGGAAGTAGAAGGCTTCCAAAGCCACTTTGGCGGCATAGAAAGAATTGTGTGCACAGCTCTGATTGTTCCAGCACACGTAAAGTGTGATGCGTTGATACAAAATACCAGACCTTGATTCGGTTGTTGTGGTCAATGCTGGCGCGGAAAACGTGAAAGGTGTTTAGGTAGACAGGTGGGGAGGAGAGTGATTTCCAGTAAGGCGCTACTCCCGTAAGTTATGTTACCCCACACGGCGGTGTTCCAGCTTCCCGTGTCACACATCTCTTCATTCGGCCCCACCTACCAATGCGAGAGGTAATGTGAATGCAATGCGATGACCATCCACATGGTTAAACCACACCTAGCTTTGTGGTGATAACTGTGGTGGTGTCTGCCAAGATGTAAACTTGGCGTCTACATGGTGCGTATCTAGCCGAAGGCTAATTACAGGTTGCTTGGGGGAGTCAATTTGAACAGGATGTGTTAGTGCTGGGATTGGGTAGCCTAAAGTCTGCAAGACCATAATATTGCTGACCTTGACACATTCTGGATTTATTTTATTTCCATCTGGCAGTCGAATCAGTTGCACACTTTCTGATGAAAAGCAGATTCATGCGTCGCATTAGGATCTTAGTTGGAGTATGCAAAGATCTGAAAAGCAAAAGCTGAGCCTAGTTTTTGTGCACAATTGATATGATTAGCTAAAGAAGTGAATTATTTAATGCAAGTGACACAGAACGATGGGTAGTGGGAGGCTATTCCCAATCTAGGTGGAGAAACTTTTATCTCGCATGCATAAAGTACTTGCATGCAAAAGCCCTCGTTTGTGTGGCGCACCCATGATCCAGTATGATCCCACCTCTGTGTTGCTCGTTAAAAATAACACTCTTTAAGACCTATTTTAACATCGTGTAGAGAGATTGCCGACATATTTGGTCGCACTTAGCACCTGCTCTATTATCTCGCTTGGCATCTGCTGTTCCCTCCTTGCTTGCATACATGTCAACAGTGCAGGATCTGTTTTTAATACTAGGATTGTGTCTAATGCTAAGGCCTATACATGTAACAAACGCTGCGGGAAATGTAATCACAGGAAAAGTGCGAGAGTTACTGATGTAGACGGAGGTGAAATGAATCTCATTACCTAGTCCTGAACATTTCGGAGAATCGAATCAGTTTATTTATGTGAAGAAGCGGAATTACATTTGTGCAAGCAGCCAAGGGTTAAAGGACTAGATACTTTAGTCTCCCTAAACTTTATTAATGGAAGAATGAAGCAGTCATATTAATGACAGTATGACTGTCACCAATGTGATTGCTGCCTACAAAAAGTGTCAATTACTTAAATGCAATGTGATGATTTAAATGATGGCAGGGAATAAAAAGGTTCAGGTAAATTTTTCGAAAAACCCCGCTTAGTTTTCAAATCTACGTTTTTTAGTCCAGCCTCTCAACGTGGACAGAATGGTAGTGTCATTTGTTGGCTGGCCAAAACATTGGTCTCTATTCCAGTTGGATGATTGTGAGCTTCTAATTTTTTAAGAGATATCACTTGGATTCATCTAAGTGGCAATGTTTGAAACGAGTCATTTCTAAGAAGTATAGGAGGAAAGTGGAGAGGGGATTACTTGATCGTTGACGTAGAGAATGGCTCGGGTCTATTGGCATGATGACTCGACCGGATCGCATGTTTATGTCGTCGGTCACAACTCCACTGCCT